TAGAAAGTTGAGGATCTAGAAATTTGAAGACATAGGAAATAGTGAACCTAAGAAATTGTGGACTTAGGAAATTGTGGACCTAGGAAATTGTGGACCTAGGAAATTGCGGACCTAGGAACTTGTGGACCCAGCAATTTGAAAATATGGAAGTTTGAAGAATTTGATGATTTCAAAAATTACAAAAAGAAATTTCTGAAATATCCAAATATCAAAAATTTCAGAGTAGTGTTTTTGCAAACTAGAAAATTTGAAATTTTGACCTACTACGTTCTACGTTTTGAAAATTAAAAAATTCACTTGCAAATTAAAACTTCAACGTTTAATATTCTGCAAATATGAAAATCTAACAAATAATACATTCTCAAGTTCACATATCACGTATCTTTATCCAAAGGAAACATATGTATATCATATCTAACTATCTAGATTAATCACAAACACGTGATGAATGATCCTCATCTCGAAAATCACAAGTGCCAAAACAATATCAATTTTTCACTTTCGCCCTTTCTTAATTGTACACTCTATCGATTGAAATTTTAGAACACGGTCCGGTGAAGTTAACGCGGGAATTGTTTGAGAAACTCTGATTTGTAAGCATGTGTACAAAACAACACAGGTTGACGGTACATGCGTGGGTGGGGAAGCGAGCATGTTCCACGGCTGGCAAATCTGTCCACGTTCAGTCCATTCCCGCGATTCATGGATCTTACAGGCCATGTCGTTGATTTGTGATCCGTTGACATTTCATTCGGAATCGATTGTCTACTGTAGCGTGATTCTTCATGGATTTTGTACACATCAGGTCCGTCGCTACTGCAATCGGTCTTTAATTCTTTTCGTTATTTTTTTTCGGTAATTGTGGATGTTGGAGTCGTTTAGTTATATTTAAGGGAGCCACGTAAATTTACGAATCTAGTTTCTGAACATAGAGTTTGCTTGAATTTTTATTGTGCAAGAAATTTTTATTTTTTAGTTTATTATTCAGATATTGTTATGTGCATGTTCTTGTCGATATTAACTGTAATATTTGTCTAAAGCTACTGCGCAGTTTTGTATTTTAGGTAGTGTTTTTTAGAAATTTCATAACCGTCAAAATGGCAAAGAAGGAGTTTAGTTCTGCTAGGTTCCACTTTACAAGGGTGGTTGTTTTACAAAATATAATGCTGTTAAAGAAATACTATAAATACTGTAAATACTAAAAATACTAGAAATAATCTTATAAACATTGAGAAAGTTAACAGTATAATTTGTAAAATTACTTTGTAAAAAGAGGATAAAACAACCCATCTATTAAGTGTTAAGATGTACGTTTATGCTGCTGAAATTGTAACTATACTTTAACTTTTATTTGAATTAACCAAACTTGACACTTGTTGAATTAAAATACGTTCGCTTTCACTTTCATTCACTGATGTCTCATTCAACTCTTGACTGTGCAACATTGTTTGAAACTACTTGAATCTACCTACTGATATAATTTTGTGTCAGACAGTCTCATTCACTAGATTCATATTTAATATTCATTGATCTGATTCGTTAGATTCATATTTAATATTCATTTATTATTTAAATAAAGAGTGTTGTTTTAGTTTGAGAAATTCGTTCAATAAATTTATACTCGATGACATTTATATATCTAATCATTTATATTAATTCATTCTTGCAATCATACTTTTAGTTAGCTTGTTATCATGGATAATAAGGAAGTTTAGGGAAGCTTGATGCAGAGGGAGGCTTGATACAGATTTATAGTTTCCACTTGGTTAGGTGACAGATAATCGTTGATTATAGTAGAAAATATTTTTGGCAGGTGGTGATAACTAATGATTGTTCTAAATAAATGTGTTGACGTGAAGGTTTTTATTATAAAAAATAGGATATCCATGTAAGATACTTGTATAAAGTTTTTGTCAGTGCGTATTAATTTTTATGAAATATTAATTATCTTGTGTGATACAGTATTGTGTATAAAAAAAATGTGAAATTTGTGTAACATCTAAAATAAACTTCTTGTCTTCAACTATTATGTATCAATAATATAAGTGATAAAAATGTAAAAATGAAGTGACATTAGTTTTTAATACCTTTCTAGCTTAAATTTAAAAAAGTTCACTTTTGTTTCCCCTCAAGAATAAAATACTGAATCTGAATGTGTAAAGAGATCATTAAGATATCTTTTAGTTTCGTTTATGCGATTTTTTCTATTTAGAATGTGTCTTTCCCAGTTTCTCCTACTATTGTTTTTCTTTCTGTAGCATTACTTAAGAGTGCAAGAGGAACGATACTATGAGAACAAATTTTGCAATTTTTGCAGACACAACGAATTATTGTTTTTTTATGGAAAACTGTAGATTTGTTAGAAGTTCTAGACTTTGTAGAGTAGAAATTAAGTTAGGAACAATTTTTTTAATAATCATTTCATCAATCGTTTTTAATATTCGAACATTTGGAACATGTGGTGGTCTATTCTGAATTGTTTAAAACATGCAAACTTATACTATAAAGGAACTTTTTATTTATTACTAATGCTAACTTGATACTAATGCTAATTTCTTTAAAAACTGCTATTGTTTCCTATTATTTTTTTAATTTTGCACATAGTATGATTTCCTTTAATTCCGTAGTAATATTACGTAACAACGAAATAATGGAATAGTGTAAAAAACTAGCATAAGACTAAAAAGTCTTAGAATAAAAGTAGTATTAAGATTATAAAAAAAACAAACCTATGAGAAGTAATAGAATAGTAGTTGGAAATAATTATAAACCCTGCTAATTTCATTTTTAATAATCATTAAAAATAACGAAGATATCGACAGTCAATTTTTAAAGCAAAATCAAAACCAACTTTTGCCACAGGATTCTACATAACAATTGCGGTGTCAAGATATTTACGGCCTTCATTTATTTGATAAATAAAGATTATATCTTTCTTTTCAGATGACACAAAACCTGATCGAAGCTACGCCAATCAGAACGGTGGTCCGAAAAGTTCCCTGATCGACAAACGAGACGAAGCTAAAACAAGTAAGAACAGTAATTTTCATGCTCGATTTTGAATTAACAGGCAATATACTTGGAATGCTGGCCTGAAATCATGCTTGTTGCACGATTGCAAGGGTCAATTTCGTTTCTCTTTCGCATCATTCGAAAAATCATTGCTATCAAAATATCATGCCATCTCAAAAATTAACTCCCATTGTATTAGTTTCATAGATTTAAACACCTGAATTACAGTACCCTAATGAAACAAAATATTAATCTTTCATGCAATATTTTGATATGATTACCGTTTGAAGCTACGAGCTTCAAGCTTTACTAATTTTGGCTACTATTTTTCTTAGTTGTATTCATTTTAGTTAGTATTTATCTAATTTGTATCAACTCTAGCTACTATTTTTTTGCATTTATATTAATTTTAGCTATGTTCTTATTTTATTGTTGAAATAATTAAAACACTAGAATAGAAATAAGTAAGTCGTAGTTAATAATTTAGTACTATTTAAAAAAGAACGAAGTGCAAAATCGATAAAATCTTTTCTTACAAAGCGCATTATATTTTAATATTATATAGTACATATTCAAGAGACTATCTTTTTTCGTTAAATATCACCAGCTTTAAAACGATAATTTTTGAAGTTAGGGTTGAAAATCCTGTTTAGTTGGATAACTGAAAAATTATTCCTGAATAAATTTCCAAGTATTTCATTTGTTTAGAAAATATATAATTAATATATCTATGTAGATTTTCTAAAGAATTTTCCTATCATTTCAAATGTTACTGTCAAAAATAGGATAAAAGAATACAATTTCTTACAGCTATGTAAATAAAATGAGTATAAATATTTTTTATATTGATTTATAAAATTTGCATACAAATTTTCATAAAAAATGTTCAACATTTTACCAAAAAATTTGCAGAAATGTTCACATTAATACGTTTTATAAAATTAATCAGCTTAGGTGTGTTTCGCTTTAACCTACACTGAATTAATCACTAGTCTCAAATTACTTTACTGAAGTATAAAACCGATTGAGTTGAGGCTGATTTTGTGTACAAAGAAAATATGTTTGTGACCGCTTTCGATGTATCTACTTCGGTGTTGAAATAACTCAAGAAAGTGTTATCAAAACGACATGTCCTTTTAATCGCGAGGATTTTAACCCTTTCAGCTATAAACATCAGAATGCTGAAGATGAAACATTTTTTAACCTTCAACCACATTTATAACTGTATTGATATTACACTGAAAGACTTCAGAAGATATTTAGCATATCTTTGTATTAACATTTAATTGCTAGTTAATACATTAATTCGTAGACCCTTCAGAAAGAATATTTAAAAAATAGGAAATGAAATTTCAAGAGCATATTCTACGTTATGAAATGCTTCCTTTCTGAGACACAGAAACTTTGCATTTATGATTGATTTTATTAAATATGTAAATTTCACTCAAGAAATTTTTGAAGTAAATTTTAAAGACGTTAAAAACCTCTCGACTTTGAACCGTTTTATAAAGCAACTGCGACAGCAATATAATAACTGATATAACATATTACACGAATAAAAGTCTACAGTATTTTAATCAGGAGAATATGGTTTGCGCGACTGCTTCTCTTCCCAATTTATCGATCCACAAAATTTTAATTAACAAATTCTACATCAGTCTTGGCAAATTATATCGAATCACCGTTATGCATAAATTGCATTCTCATGTTTTCTGATAATACGTGCGCAAAAAGAATGTGATACTACAGAATACACACACGTTGACAAAAATGAAACTGTCTACACTTCCTGAAATTGTCTGTAATCAGAGTGCTTTATCGAGGTACAAATTAATGCCATAAGTAGAATATGCTCTTGTTCCCAAACCTTTTCGATGGATTTGTTTAACATATCTGTTTGAACTCACAATTAATTTGACGATGGCGAAAGGGTTAAACGTTCCGTCCGTTGCGACTCTATAGGATTTTGCGAACCATCAGACTACGCGACAGATACCGAAGAAATTACCATGCCCCACGGTACTCGGAATCGCAGAAATCGCAGAGGTCGCAACAGGAGACACATTCAGCGTCATACGAGTCCTGAAAAAATATCCAAAGACGACATAGAGAGCCCAGAGGGCGCCACAACTCTCGCTGATCCCGCGAGCACAAACACGAACGACTCCTGCAGGGAGAATATAGTACGCCATAACGAACTGCAACAAGAGGATACTAAACACGAATCAGCAACAAAAAGCACCGAAAGCATTTTCCAGAAAGAAATCTCCAAGACGAGTAGATACACGAGGGAAGAGAGGTACAAGATCGAGAAGGGCACCGTTAAACCAGGCATCAAGGTGGTCGAGATAACAACGATCAGTAGTTTGCCCCTGGAGGCTAAAATCGACCACATTCCCGGCGTTGGCATCCTAGAAACCGGCCGTAGGGACAATGTGCCAGAAGACCAGGCGAATGTCACGGTATCCGAGCCGGTGGAATCGTTCCCTTGCTCTTCGAAGGGAATGAGTCAAAAGCTTCAAGGAGAGTCGAGTAACGAACGATTGCAGATCCACGATGTCAGCGACTGCGACGTGGAGACTGATTATGCCAAGCCGTTTATTGTTGAGATGGAGTCAGATTCGGATAAGGAAAACGTGGAAAGCACGCATGCGTGGGACACGGTGATGCCACGAGATGTGGAGAAAAAATTAAGGACCTTTATCGAAGGACTGAAGCTGCCGACTTATCCCGAAGACTTCGAGGAGACGCGGAAACTCTTGGAAAAAGTTAGCAATAAGAAGTATAGGAAAAGAAATAATACTTCGGAAGTTCATGCACACTATCAGGCTGCTAGTAGATTTTTGGATATCATTCAGGAGGAAGGAGAGAAGTTGTCGGAGGACGAAGAGCAGCACATCAGGGACTTCATTAATGAGGAGATTGGAAAGTATAGGAGGGACGAGCGGGGTTCTGATAGAAGAAAACGAGAGGTGAAGTTTGAAGAAATGGAGGAGAAAGAACACGACGTGAGAATACACGTGATTAATGTGGATTTGGACGGGGAAGAATCTGTGAACAGTGTGAAACCTGGAAATGTAGAAACTAAAGAAAGTTTGGACGAAGAAAAATTGACGTCAAACGATACTTCAACGGATCAATTGGAACAGAAAAATGTAGAAGTTAATGTAACAGTCTCTGCAGAAAATGTACCGAATCAGAACTTAGAGAAAGAACACGAAATGAAAATCGTGGAAGAAAATCTTGGTAATGAAGATCGAACTGAAGAAAATGAACCATCGAAATTGCACAATGATGTTGAAAATGAAATGCGTGGTAGTAAACAAGAGTTTAACGATGTTCACGAACAGTTGGATGTTAATTTAGCATCGAGGGAAGAATTAGATGATACAGATTCAATTAAACGCTCCGAAGAGGATCAGTATTCTAGCGACAGCTTAGACGATGCCTCGAATGATGTCAAAGCTGCAGCTGAGTCCTCAGAATTTACTGTTTCAAACGAGAACGTAGAGAAGGAAACATTGACGAATGTGGAAACATCTACAAAACAGTTGGAAGATGATTCAATACGACAGTCAGAACCTGAGTTATCTAAAGATAATTTAGATACAACTAATGGTGCAAAATCTGCAACAGAGAGTGTAGAATCTACTTCTGAGCAACAGGGTGATAATGATGAAAACTTAATCAAGAATGAAGATCCATCGAACAGGGATTCAGATGTTGATTCTATTAAACCTACAGATTCTCACACTTTTGAAAATAGTTTAAAGAACACAAGTGTTAGTGAATCTGAAACTGTTGAAGGTTTAGAATCTGCTTCTCCAGAGCAACTAAATGATAATAATGAAATCAAGAATGATGAAAATTTGAACACTGATTCAAATGTAGGTTCATCCAAACATCCAGATTCTGATATTACTGAGAATAATTTGAAAAACACTTCAAACGTTGCTGAATTTGAAATGATAGAGGGTTCAGAATCTACTACCGAGCAAGTAGATGATAATGATGAACCCTTAATAAAAAATGGAGGAAATTTGAATGAGGATTCAGATGTAGCCAAACATCCAGATTTCGACATTACTGAGAATAATTTGAAAAACACTTCAAACGTTGCTGAATCTGAAACGATAGAGGGTTCAGAAACTACTACCGAGCAAGTAGATGATAATGATGAACCCTTAATCAAAAATGGAGGAAATTTGAACGAGGATTCAGATGTAGCCAAACATCCAGATTCTAACATTTCTGAGAATAACATGAAAAATACCTCAAACATTACAGAATCTGCAACTGTTGAAACTTCAGAATCCATTTCTAACGAGCAATTAAATGCTAATGAGGTCTTAATCAAGAACGAAGAAGTCTCGAAAAATGAATCAGACGTAAATTCAACTAAGCACGTAAAATTGCAGTTAGTTAACGAGAGTTCAGACTTATCTGTAAAGTGTTCGCAAAACGAGAAAGAAGAATCGCAGGCGAACAAAAGTGAAGAAACTCTTGAAACTAGTTCGAAAGATGAGACCTTGATTAAAAACTCTGGAAAAGATGAAGGAAATAAAGCATCGGAAAACCAAGTAAATACGCAGGAAATGAACGGTAACGAAGACTCTACGAAATCAAACAATCCAAGGGCGGAAGATAGCGTGAATAATACTTCGGAGACAGTAATAAAAGAGTGTTCGTCGACGATAAAATCTTCGGTAAAGAGTGAACACTCAAGATCTCAAACTATTACAGTAATAAAAGAACAACGACGTCCTCCAACTCCTCCAAAGCGGTCTTCCAGTCTCGACGGTGATTTTCAAGAAAAAACAAGCTCTCAACTCAAAAAGGAAACGAACGACGCTCCACCTATTCGTCCACCTTTGCCGAAAGAAAATCTCCGTCCACCAGAATCGGATTTGTCGGACACATCGTCGGATAAGAAGAGCACTCTCGACCCTACACCTGCAACTATTTCACGCAGTGACGCGGCTGTACAAAATAATTGCAACACGAATGCGCCAGGGGAGATTCGTGAGATCATCGATGATCTAAGGGCCTCCGACAGCAACAGCGGATTACGAAATTATATCGAGAACGGCGCCAAGCTTGGCAGTGCAACAAGTCCTGAAATAACGCGTGACTGCGAAAAATGTTCAGTGCCCGAGAACGCACCGCTCGTGTCTGGTAAATCGAAAGCTTCTCACTCAAAGCTGGAACACTCCCGGCAGAAGGTTGTCAAAAACAAAACGATCAAAAGTCAAAAGTCGTCGAGGAGCACGGAACTGAAAACTTGCGAGGAACAGTTCGAGGAGATATACAATTACTCGATGGAAAACACCGAGAGTAAGACCATCGAACACCAGAATGAGAACGACAAGAGCGACTCGGAGATATTGGAGTCTATTCTGAATGCCAAACGAGTCGAGACGACGAACGATTTGCAGGGTCAAGACTCGTCTAGCAGCGCGACGACGTTGAGTACAGTAAAGTACAATCCCATGGAAGCATGGCAGACTGATATTTGTTCCATAATCGCGGAGGAGACGAGGAAAAATAACCTGAGACGCGAAGCTGAAGTCGAGTCGTGCAGCCTGAAGAGCAAACTGCCTCTGTTGAAAGGAGAGGACGTGTACGAAGTTGCGAATGGACACGAAGGTCCAGTCACCCCGGAACCAATACCCTATTCTCCGGTCGAGAATTTACCTTACAAGTTCCCAGAAAGTAGCAATGTTCCTAGTAAAAATCTGAACACGACAATCGAGCCGGAGCCTCTGAAAGATCTCTGTCTCAAGAGAATCCTCTCAATGCCGTACGGGCCGCAAATAATCAACGAGATAATGCTGCCCAAGTTTAACATCTTCAAAAGTCTTCGGCCGGTTTCAAGGTTTGCTAACGACGATGCTAGAGGTCTATTAAACATGCATGGCGTGAGTGAGCAGCAGCTCGAAACAGCTAAACTAACAGCTTCGCCAGGGTCCTCTGACCTCTATAAAACCACTGTTTCAGACCAGAATAAGTCTCTGCAATTAGATCAGAAGATGGCTGCAGACAATTCGGAAACATGGATAGGTCTGTCGACTTTGAAGGATCCCAGGCTGCTCGTGTGTCTCTCCCCGTCTCAACAGAAGACCGCGATAAAAACGACCGCGGACAATTTACTGGATCTTCATAAAAAGTTCCTTAACAGACACAGTTACTACGAAGAGGAACCACCGTCTCGTATCCCTGTTCCGAGGTATCGGATCGATGTACGTAGACCCAACACAAATTCCTCGAAGTCCGAAGACACCGAGAGCAAGTCGGCCAACAGGCTGTTGGAGATCATCAAAGAGAATTCCGACAGTCAGGTCACTTCGGGACAGTCGAAATCTTCCGAGTGGTCAAGTCCGGACAAGGGTCACGAACGTTTTAAGGTCACTCGTCTTTGTGACTGGCTGAACTTGGCGAGACAAGAGCCTGTTGACATCCGAACGCCATCTTTCTCCGACGATTTACGTGCGGAACCGTCGGGTGAGGGGAAGCGAGATAAGAGAAGAGTCCACATTGCCAAAGAGCCAGTTGTTGATAACACTGGCGAGTACGTGCATCACGTCAACGCTGCTCTGATGGTGAATCCGATAGAAAGACCTGACCCTCCTGTCAGAAGTTCCACGCCTTTTAACAGAAGTCCAATTACGCTGAACAGCGCGCTTATCGACAAGTCGAGTACACCCGATATTGCCGGCAAGAGGACTCCTCCTAAAAGGACTATTGACCCGCGCTACAACGTTAATCCCGCGCTTATAGACGATCGAGTCGAGGTTCCACCGCGAGTTAAACGCGTCGTGAACGTGGACAGGTCGTGTATCGACACGAGGAGCATCTTCGACCAGAGTCCCGCCAGGAGCAATCTGGAACCCCGGAAATACGGAAATGCCGAAGGCCTGAAGCACATGACGGCCACGGAGATCGTACAGAACCTGAAGAAGTTCCAGAATGAAAGAGATAATCAAATGAGAGGTCGTCCGAAGTGCTCCGTACCCGAAGAATACCTCGAGCAGCAACTGAAGTACATAGAATTGTTGGAGAACCAGTTGAAAAACGTGATACTGGCGGAGGAGGAGGAGAGGGAGGCGTACGAGAAGTTTCAAACGCAGATGAAGCAAAAGGATGGCAGAGATGGGACTTATGAGAAAAGCAGTGACTCCGAGAACGTTTCGAAAAATCCTAAGGACGATTCTCGAGTGGAGAGCGAAAGTTGGCAGGAGAAGTCCGAGCAGGTGGAGAAGGATCGCTCGGAGAGGATCGATAAACAGGGACACAGAGACTTTGTGAAGAAGGTGCAGACTAGTAACGGTGTTCACGAAGAGGAGACGTGCGAGAAAATCGAACGTGTGGAACATTCTGTGGTTACCAGAAAGGAAAACAGAGACGATCGAAAAACGAAAACGAAGGAAATACCGAAAGCTTCTGCAGTGGTAGTTAATGGAGAGGCGTTTCGTCGACAAATGTACGACGAGTACGTGCACAAGGTTCTCGAACGGGAGGAGAGGAAACAGCACAAAGTGGTGAAGATCAGTTCGCATCAAGACATACAGAAATCGAAGAACAAATTGGGAAAGAGTGACATGAGCTCTGTTGAAAAGGAATTTATCGAAAAGGCGAGGAACAGGTTGAATAAGTTCGGTATTAAATTGGACGAAAGTGAGACGGAGAGCGAAGGGAAGCGTGATCAGGAAAATATTGTGAAGGCAAAGTGTTTGATCGACGGGGAAGAGCTGGAAGATGCGAGAAAATTGCCGAAACATTTGCAAGAATTCCTCAAAATGTCCGGGGAGGATGGTGAGTTCCGTCGAATCGAGGATTGTTACACGTCGGTTTTTCGACTGTTGGCCCGAGTGTTTTCGCTTGATTTTTGCATTTTCTGAAATGGGGTAATACCTGCTGCAAGAACGAGTGTTTTGCTTATTCTTCGAAGAAATTTTGAAATTTCATTGAATATGTGTATTACAGTCTGCGTTTGTTTTTGTAAAAATCGAGTATGGTATTAGATTTCTATATGGGGTATCTCATTTAAATGGGATCCTCCAAATATATTTTTTAAAGTATAAAAACATAAAACATGCTTTATACTTAATTTCAATGATATCAAACACTTGACATAAGATAAAATATTAATCGCAAAAATATTAACTTGTTTTATTGAAGTCGATTATAAATGTGGAAGAAACAAGACTGCTAAATTGTAAATATGATTCGATGAATATTATTTGAATATGAACGTATCTTCGAATTTTCAAAACTGTAAATTTATATTAAAGTATACATTAGTAATTCGATCATTGTCGCATAGTAAGCAAATAACTATTTGAAAAATTGATAATCATTAATTACCTTCACTTATTTAGATGGTTTTACAATATCATATTTTACATTATGAAAAATAATGAAAGGTTTATGTATTAATTTTTATTAAATCGTAAGCTTTAAATTGATGCAGTATAAATGCAATTTTGCAAAAATCTTTTTCCAAGTAATGAGATTTCATGTCTTCCAGAATCTGTCATTTAATATTCAACAATCTTAGAATTTGGTTCTCAAAGGGATGCAGAGTAGATTTGATATCAAAGACTGCAATTCGTAGCAATTTGATCATGCGGAATCTATTTGTTCATCCCTTTCTTTTCTAGCCTTTATTCTTTCGACCTCGACTCTTCCAATCTCCATGAATCTCATTTCTATCACGAAGCCTTTCAAACTGTCATCGAATAGTCAATTTTGATTGGGTAACGGCATGTAATATGCAATGTTCCGTTTTAAGTTCGCCAAAAATACAGAAATCTTTCTTTAACGATATTTTTCATTCGTGATATTTTTCTTTAATATGACATTTTTCATACGCGACATTTTTATTTAACAAAATTTTTCTTGAACCCTGTAGAAATACAATAAAATAAATATTTATAAATTTATTTCATTATAAATAATTATTTATGTATAAAATTGTAAAAGAGTAAATTTTTACAAATTACAGTAAAGAAGAGTAAAAATTAAAGATTTCTGAAAATAATATGAAATATGGATTATTTAGACAATTCATAAAGAAAATTTCTAATAACTTCATTGTTTTTATAAAGTGATTTTGTTGCTACGAAAAGTGAATATTTACTTAAATGAAGAAAGCAGCTGCTGTTCAAGCATTACATTACTTCGAGTTCCCAGGGGAGATAGAAGAGAAATTGTGTTCTCTTCCCATTACTATTGCTTTCGTAGTTTCGACTGCAAAATAAACAGTGACATCGATATTGTGTAGCTGTTCAAACATTACATCTAATGCAGAATCTGCTCAGATGAATTATTCTCTCTTGCTTTTTCATTTCCGATCTACCTTTTACAGATACTCGTTTCTGTAAATATTTGCTTGCATCAGAAATCAATGATTTGTGTCACTGTTACGTATTTTTGTATACGTGTTATATATTTATATAGCTATCAGGTATATTTATATATACATTATACAGGGTGTCTCACAAGTCGTGTAACTCCCGGAAAGGGGTGGTAGAGGACGTAATTCAGAATAAGATTTCCCTTTGCAAAAATAGAGTTTGAAGCTTCGTTTTTAAATTATTAACCAAAAACACGGACCAATCAGAGCGTGAGGATTACGCCCACTCCGCCATTAGACTCGAAGGCGTCGCTCTCGCGTCTGCGCACGCGTATCCTCGCGCTCTAATTGGTCCGTGTTTCCACCACTCCTTTCCGGGAGTTACACGAGTTGTGTGACACCCTGTATATTTATACATGTAACTATTACGTTTTGTTGCTTTAATAGGTTATATGGAAAACAATAATTGTACTACAAAGAGATATTAAATATGGTCATATTAAGTGGTAAATTATGCCATCTAAGTTTTTAGTTATTTTTAATATTTAAAGCTGCAGATTTAAAAATTTATTTCACTTTGATTTCGAATAGTTTTGCGATAATTTTTTGAAAATATAACAAATTGTTAAAAGGAAATAATTCTGCACACAAAGGAACTCGATGAAATTTCAAAATTCATTTGAATTGAAAAGAATTTTTCTGTAATCTCGACTTGTTTTTGTACAAGGTATTACTATTTTTACGTCTGTACTATGGATCCTATTGTATTCAGGATGTTATGGAAACAGGTGGTTATGCTTTAATTTCATCTCACTTGACAAATGATGAGCAACTATTCTTTTTTGGGTTATACATATCAGTAATTACTTTGAATAATTTTTCCCCTTCAACAGTTATTTAAATAATTACAATGCTATAGTAATTTGCATTACTTTATATGGAAGCATCCAAAAAATATTTTAGTAGACAAATTGTCTGAATACTTGAAATTATGAACATTTTTAAAGTTGTAAATTTTCAAACAATTTTTAGATTTCTTTCCCAAACACGATAAGCATTGCAAGAAAAATTTATGCACCCGTGTTCAGTATGAAAAAAAAATTGTTTATTACAAATTTATTCTCCTGTTTTCGAAACACCCTTGTACAAGGTATGTCATTATAACTTTGCACTTTAAATAACTGTATAAGAACGCAGAAAAATATACCCTGAAATATATTTTTCTAAATCTTTCCAAAATATATTTTGTTTAAAAATTTATATTGAATAACTGTTTACTAATGTCTCGAGCTTATATTAATTTTTTTAAAACAAGATAAAATTTATGTTGATATACATTATGACATACTGAGATTTCAGTTATTCCAAATAAAAATTTCGATATTGAAACAGTTGTTTAACGTGTTCAGTATGAAGTAGAATTCAGAATCATAATCATTAATGCACGTTTGTATCGTGAGTTGTATTGACGTAGATGTCTTACTTGTTTTTACTAATAATATTGAAAGAATGGTTTTTCGTTTTGATTTTGATTGACAAACGTTTCTTCTTTTTGACGTATTTTACTGTTAAGATTTGTTGAATGAAATGTGCTTGATTTTTATCGAAAATAAATAAAAAATTTAAGAAAATTATAATTAAAAATTACAGTTTCAATTGAAAATATATATAATTTCGATTGAGTCACTCAAAGGGTAAATATATTAATATTAACACAATATTTTAATTAACAGATTTTCTTATTTTTCCTAAATTTCATAAACCGTAATCACTTCCAATAAAAATATAAAACTTCACAATTTTTAAAACTGATATGGGGCATTCTACAAACTTGTATTTATAATTTTAAGTTTGTTTTAATTCACAAATCGTAATCAGTGATTCACGTAAGTTGTTATAAATACACGTACGACTGTATCTGCACTATCGTAAAAAGTTTCAATAAAAGAAATTAATTGGAAAACATCTGAAAGCTTTCCTAAATTTTTTGGATGCCGTACAGTCATCAGAAAAAAAGTTAAAGTTACATGAACTGATAACGAAGGTTACGATTGGTTTCTTGCCAATAAAGTGAGAATGCCAAGAGATAAGTTTGTTGGCTTTCGCGTGGGTCATAGGTTATCGTACGAAACTAGCAGACAAAACTATCATCTGGCATCATAGAGATCTGTCTGTCGCCATAAATTTTCATTTCCGTTCGCATTTGTTGAGTAAGTAATCTGATTTGAACACTTTAACAAAATTACTTAATAATTAAAAAAAAGAAACCAATATAAAAAAGTAACCAAAAAGAAGATGACTCTAAATGAACAAGTAAAGGAGAACTATGAAAAAAAATTAAGTAATAAAACCAAAATAATCAAATTTAAATAATCATAGTATTAAATTATTATACAATAGAACAAGTAACTCACAATTTAAATAATTTATATTTAACATCAATTGCAAACTTAATTATTAAGAATAGAATATTTTCGATAATACAGAATGTATGTACATATATATTGTTTTTATTGTACCTTTAAATTTCATATGTAATTTGTAATTACATTATAATAAACGTATTTGGAAAGGTGCGTCTAGATAACTTTCTTGAGTAAATATTGACTCATGAAATTCATTAAATCGTCTGTAAAAATATCTGTGAGAAATCTTTAATGGATTTTACGAAATTATGTGTTGAACTGTAAAATTTCAATTCGTAGAAGTAATTTATGTCAATGTGCAGATATAACTTATATTCATTCTACTTGTGCACATACGTTATATCTAGATATAACTCATATCTGTTCGTAAAATAAAATGGTTAACGTATATGCATGTGTACATATAAATGTATATTAAATGTTTTATATCTGTCTTGTTTAGAGTGACATTCTCTTCTACCCCTTTCAGGGAGTAACACTAGTTGTGAGACACTCTGTACAATATAATGTAATATATTTTATAATATAATATGATATAATATATTATATTACAATATAATGCTAATGTATTATACTTATCAGTAGACATAAATTATACTTGTATACTTATATACTTATATTGCTTCCAATATTCGTACTAGTAAGAAAGTTACACGTGTACAAGAAAGAAACGTGTTTCGTGTAATTGAGAAACATTTCCACCGTGGATTTATTTTTCCCCGATGTCAAATTACGAGGATGAGCCTCGAGGTTGGTCGGTTGCAATGTTCATGATTCATTCGAGAATAAGAACCTAAATATAGGCGTCATCGAGAAATAGGCCAGCGCTCGTAGAACGTTTCGTCGCGAGTCCAGCTTCACGCCGGAACCACTGTCTCCATTTTGGCTATTTCCGACGAATTGCGACACCCTAACCGGATCTCGCTCAGACCTTCACCTATTCAAACCAATAAACAATTTTCTTATGAAGTTATCGTAAACTTTATTTTATCTGAAACTACGATCTGCAGCAAACGTACGTTTTCTTATAT